TGGCTGCCTGGGCTTTCGGGGCCAGCATGGCATGTAAGCCCAGGTCCTTGCACTTGCCAGGCAGGCCCTTAGACTACTGAGCTATCTCCCCAGATGGGTTCATCTTTTTTGCCAATAGCAAATTCAATTATACCTGCTATTATATAATTAGATTCAATAAACTTTGCACTCAATATTTGTCTTACAAATATTACTTATTTCATATAGGGATTTGCTATGTAGTTCATGCTGGCCTGTCATAATCCTCCTGCCTCAACTTCCCCAGTGCTGGAATTACAGGTGTGCAATGTCATAACCAGCTTAATTTTTTTCAAAGTTAGGCAACACTTATGTTTTTATTCTTCCAACTATAATGAGATTGATACACATGGACAGCTGCATACAGACATTTACAACTTTTGAGAGACCATAATCTGATGCAAAACAACTAAACTGCAATTGAAAAGGAGTGCTCATGAATCAAGTTAACTATAAGTAAACAGAAGTTCAGTAGTGTGTAAATCCTATTGGTGACAGTCTCTAAAGTATGATAGACATTGAAGACAATAGAATACCACATTGTATCGTAATCAAAAAGATTCAATTTCAATCCCAGGGTCCGCCAAAAAAAAAAAAAAAAAAAAAAAAAAATCAATTTTGTGGTTAATCTGGTGACATAGTCATAGTCAACTAGAGTCAACTAGAGATCAACATTTCAAAAGAAATGTTGGGCGGGGACTCGGCTCAGTGGAATAAGCGCTTCCCTGGCAAGCGCCAAGGGCCTGAGTTCAATTCCTAGTTCCGCCAAAAAAAAAAAAAGAAAAAAGAAAAGAAATGTAAATAGTAGAAAGCTTTGAACAACCATGCTTAACATTAGTCAGGATGCCTGCAAACCAGCAGCTAGTCATTCCTGAAACATGTCATATGTTACCTTCCCCAAGTAATTTCCTTAATGTCTTTGGGGGCTGAGTCTAAAAAAATGACAGTACCAGTCCATCATTTACTTAAGTTCTCTCTAGTGTTAAATCAGGAAAACTGACCCATTCCATTTTGTTTAGTGATGTGCAAGGCCCCTAATTTGAACAAAGAGCTGCGTGATGCAGTGGCACTGTTTTGCTTTCCATTAATATCTGTACTGATTTGTTGGAGTGTGGCCTCTACCCATCTGAATCCTTGAGAAGCTGAATTGTTCACAAAATCCAAAATTACAGAATTCCCAACTTATTATCTAGGAATCCCACTGGACCCTCAGTGGTAACCAAATCTTACTCAATTATTTCAAGATAGATACCAATTTTGATTACTGATCACCTGGACATAGTGTTCTAGGAACTTCTAGGGAAAGCTCTCAGGCCAGTGGGAACCTGACCAAATAGCAAGGTCCAAACTAATGATGGGCCAGAACGAAGTAAGTGAATTCTCCACAGACCCAGCATAGACTCTTAAGGCTGGAAAGGAGGACCACCTGGTGGTATCTGAAAAAGGGTCAGCCCATAATTGTGCATAGCTGCTAAACAAAGTAATCTAGACAGATTTTTCATAACTTAACAGCAATTAGGCTATGGATCAAACAGGTGAGGACTATGTCTAGCAATCCATGGGTAGAAAAATCCCACTATTTAAAAATTCAAGAATAACTTT